TTGAGTCATTGCTTCTTGACCTGCCTTCAGGTGCTTTGGATAATAAATTGACCTCCACTTCCTTGTCATGTCTCCTCAAATATTGGAACACTGCTATCATGTCATCTCTAGTCTTTCTTTTTATTAAACTAGACATACCCAATTCCTGCAACCATACTTATGTTTTAGCCTCCAGTCCCCTAATCATTTTTGTTGCTCTTCTCTTCACTCTTTATAGAGTCTCAACATCTTTTTATACCATTTTTAATAGCTTGTAGTTAACAGAGAAAATGTCAGAAAGTACTTGAAAAAAGTTTTTATTTTCAACACCATTTATAGATTTCCCAAAACATATGTCTCTTGTTGATGACCTATGCATAATTATTAATTTTGAAAAACCTTGAAGAATAGGTTAAATTACTGAAGGAAAGCAAAGCTAGTGAAATGGAGGAAGATCTAGGAAACTACAGACCAATCAGTTTGACAACACATTCTGGTATGCTTCTACAGCAGATCATAAATCCATCCAAAACACACTGAATTTTTTAAACCCATCCATAGAAATGTCACTGCAGCATCAGACATTTCCTTTAAAATCCAAATAATAGCTTTTCAAAATGTGAGGCTAAAAAAAGATTGCCTATCCTTAACTAAATAAGGCTTAGACATAATAGCATGAATTAAATATTGCATAAATGAGAGCATTACTATACATACTTTCTAGAGAAAATAAGAATTTGACTCTCTCAACATGGTCCAATTCTGTCTTGTCAGATTTAAATATATTACTCTTATTAATTGACACAGAATGGTACACAGGTTAAATTACCAACTTCAGACACTTAACAGATCTAAATTGTTTCCTGAATGCACATGGAGATTGCCTTTCTTTTTCTGTCAGTGATACTGTTGGAAGTTCTGCCTGGTCTATGGACTATGAAGAATCCCACATGGAAGTGACATTTCCTATTTATTTTCTTCTACTTAGCCAATCCTGATTTTAATGAAGAAAATGCTGAAGCAGAAAAGTACTGATCAATAAGTAGGATGATCAGGGATTGGGATATTCTACATTCTAGGTGAATGTATACTATATAATCCCTTTAAATGATCTGGAAACACTTCTTACTTTTCAATAATATTTGGATTCTCAAGTGACTGTGTTGGAAAATAATGCAACTGCACAATTATACCTAGTGGCAACTACTTCTAAGCTAGAAAATTTAGCAGGAGTCACCTATTCCTTAATTACATATTGACTAACTATGCAATCACCAGAAATTTAACTAAAATACAGCAGTTAAATTGCTAGATGTGTTATAAAATTTACAGTGATTGTCAAAAACAATTTAAGATGTTAAACTTTAAATGATTTCAAGGCTACCTGAAGAACTATCTCAATATGACCCAGTCTGAAGGCTAAGATCAGCAGGAGATGCCCTAAAGATACCTTCCCTTTATGGGATTCATTTGTTCAAAATACAAAACAGGTTTTGGGATAACCTTGGTCTGTTTCATTAGCTCTTCATGTATCCCTGCATCCCTGAAAAATTTAAACACTTTCTGTATTAGATATCTTCTTCTGCTTTGGTAATAAGGAGACAGTCTTTATCAATACAAGATGAAATATGACAAAATTCTGGAAAGAAGATGTATGGTTGTAGAGATGATGGCAGTATTAGAGGTACTACAATGGTTAGAATAGATTTGGTTCCGATGGCTTTTGAATATAACCCACAAAAGAGTGATTAGATAGCCTAAAATGGTTTGGGTCATTTTTGTACTATTAAAGGCTCATCTCTGAGTAGATGAAGTCCACAAAGTATTTGAAGGTGAGACTCATAGGAGAATTTTTGAAAAGGAAAACCACTTTGGAATC